CCCCCCCCCAATAGAAGCCTCTATTTACTTTTAGTGTTTTGATTTGTTAATATACCCCCTCCCCTCACTCAGTCACTCAAAGGTTTTAAGCCCCTCATTTATAAGCCCTCCCAAAACCCCCTATGAAGTTGTATAAACCTAGGGCTTACAACTGGAATTTTATGGTATTAATGTGGAAGGTACTAGACATGTCAGGAATAGATGCATGTGTACATACAAAGTTGAGTGCTTCTGTGACGAGTCAATCTTAATTTATGCTAATTTATGATGCACTTATTAGAATCATTAGTGGTACATGTAAGAGACATGTAATCAAAGCAGGTGACTATTTGAGCTATCCTAGGAAAGGTAGAAAAAAAATACTATCATGGGTGTGTTAGGTAGATACTTGACTTTAAACACCTTCCCAAACTGTGTGCAGCATGCTTGACTTCAACTAGTGACTTCAGCATTTTATGTTTTGAAGAAAGAAGACATTTTCACAATACCAAACCTGCTGTCGACTCTCAGAATACTGGCAGCACCAGTTCTTGGCTACCTGATAGTGACAGGGGACTATGCCAGCTCTATAGCTCTGTTTGGTGTCGCGGGTCTCACAGATATGGTAAGGTGCAACAGGACTTTCAATTGATAAACACCATATATTGTATTTGATTATAATAAACTACTCCCTAACCTAACCTTTTGTATGGAACGAGCTGGGCTCGGTTTGTACTGCCATGACCTCAGGCCAATATTCCCCAGTACAGCCCTTGTGCTTGTTTAGTAAGAGGTTAAAATGTTTTAGTTGGTGTGGTAAACTCGTCCAAAGGCTTGAGTAGACGAGAGATCAAAGTTCTCAACCTCCAGGCATGAGACTCCTGCCTAAGTTATAAGAGTTGGCAGGTATACATTTACCTGGCTACTCTGTCAACAGTTTTCAGCTATTTATTCTCCTATGTGGAGAGAGGCAGTGTGCTAGAGACATAAGTGCCTTGTTTGAACTCTACAACACGATGACCCCCACCAGCACTGAAACACAGGACTCTCATTCTAGAAGTCCAACTTAATGATCATTAGGCCGAATGGTTCTGTCATCTGCAGCATTGTGCCTACATGTATTCAGATTTTGCTAGGTCTTGTTGAATTAAATTATAACTTATGGTTACTTTTCTGTTCATGTTATAGCTTGATGGATTCATAGCAAGAAATTTTGCAAATCAGAAGTCAGTTCTGGGAACAGTCTTAGATCCATTTGCTGACAAGATTTTAATGTCAGTGGTGACTGTCTCTCTTACGGTGGTGTCTCTCTTACCTGGTAAATATAGCTGCAATAGATGCTGGAATGATTACCAGTAGTGGTGTCACTGATGGAAGCCTGAGATGACCAAAATAATTGAGGAATTTAAGAGAATAAAATTTATTTGATAGTGAGTTTTTAGAACAATTTGTAGCTCCTGGAAAAAAAAAAGCATACTCACCCCCAAAGAGGTTGTTGGAATTTCCAAGGGTTAAGGCCATTTTAAAAGTGAAATTTTAAGGTTTTTACAGAAAATTTGTTTCAGCCTTATTGGGCTTAAGCAACCTCTCAGTAAATGTAGAGTATTAAGGTGTAACATTGTGGAGTGATGAGTGAAGTTATGTTAACATTATGATGAGAGAAAAACAGGGGCACTTTCCATTCAATCAAAAATTCTGGAACTTTCAAAATGATGGCAAATGTTAAGAAAATTTCTCGGAGAAGTTTCCGGAAAATCCCAAAAAATTATGGAAAAGTTCTGACGTGCAAACTATCTGACTGGAAATTCCAGAAATCTTGGTAAGAAAGTCAAATGCAATGGAAATTCCCAGTGAGAACTTTCTGAAAATTTGGGTATACTGTACTTTGTGAGGTTGTCCTCTTTTTAGGAAATTCTGGAAAATTCTGTTCCATTTGCCACTGGACATTCGGGAAATTCAAACCAGAATTTCTGGTTGAATGGAAAGTGTCCCAGGTTACACTGTAACGTTTTTGTTTTTCTGTAGTTGCTCTGACCGCACTGATTTTGAGCCGAGATGCTGTGCTAGTCAGCTGTGCATTCTACTTCAGATACAAGTCTCTTCCATCACCGGTGAGTCTGGTTGGTTGCAACAAATACAGGAAAATGAACCATTCAGATCAGAATTGTTGTAGCTCTCATAAGCTTGTTATTTTATTTGTCATTATAGTGTAGCAGCTGTTATTATTTTGGGGCCAGCAGCATCATTTCTGTTGTTTGTTTTATAGTTTTCTCAGAGGGTTTCAAGCCATTCATGTGAGACCTTGCGAGCTGCAACCTGATCCATTAAAAGCCTACAGTAGTTACCGTAATTAACTATTGAAACCATTTGCAAGCTTGGTAAAACTAAGCATGCAATATATGTCTATCAAAGCACTTCTTCCTTCTTTAGAGGGGAAGTTGAAAATTATGCTCTGCCAGTTGAATGTGAAGAACTTAGAAAAGCAACTTACAATTTATTTTCATTGGTATATTGTAAAATGTGCCTGGCTGGTTAAGTTAAGTAGTATAAAAGTGTTTTTATTATTATTATTATTATTATTATTATTATTATTATTATTATTATTATTATTATTATTAT